AAATTATAAGAGAACAAACTTTTTTCATCACTTTTATATAGGAAATTATTGTTTTAGAATTATTTTTTTTAAAGCCATGTAATCGTTAAAATCGAATGCAAAATCTGTGATAATTCTTATAATTTTCCATGTGAAATAAATTATCAGTAAGTCGCTGATAATCTTTTTCCGGTGTATGATGAATACGATCACTTGTGACATGAAGAATTTCCGGTACGTAAGCGACGACACTAAAAGCAGCGTAAGCTAGTAGGAAATTTATGAATTGTGTTTTTATACACGATAAAAGTAGAAATTAGCTTGCTTAGGGGGAGAGAGAGAGAGAGAGAGAGAGAAAGAGAGTCTACACACCGCCCGATAACCCAATTCCGAAAAAATTAATATAACATTGACGTTTTCTCTCTTTCTGTATTATCTTAATTGACGTGACCATAAATATCCGATGCGATGATCGACCGATATCGTCGTGCATTTTTCACGAGCGCACGCTGCCAACAATGTCTCTGAGACGGCCAGAAATTATTCAGTCGCTCATCCCGCCGTTCTCGATTTATCCTGGAGGTCGATGCACTGCCCGCGTATGTGCCTATCGCGCACATTCATGCCACTAACCGCAAATGATATTTAGCGATGCCCCAGTGCGATCGTTCGGGAAGAATATAGCTCCCTGTTCAAAGATTCACGCGGTCTGATTGATTTCGACGATGTGTATCCATTTCGCGCCATATCAATCTTCCATTTCGGTAAATGTCAAAGTTCCGCCCTGTTATTACGACCGTCATTACGTATGTATGCGTGCCCGATGTCCAGGATGCATGGAATACTGGCAGAAATCAAGCCCCACGGGTTTTAATCGCGTTTTCCACGCCGGCGTTTCTTCTTTTTTTTTTCGCGCCTAAGAGTGATTACACTTTTATTCTCCTCTTATTTCACGCGCGGTTGTCCGCTCTTGCTCCTCTTGTCTCACTTTAAGTGTACAAAACGGTATAACAGGTGCGGTTAAAGAGCGCAAACCCAATTTCGCAAGTGCCAAGATCTAATTGGTAACAACGCGGAAATTATGAAAAACAGGAAACCGCGAGGGAAGCTCGGGCTTGAGCGCGGGAGACGCGATTTTTCAGCCGGATAAGCGTCCGACTGGTCGCCGCTCGTAATAAGCGCCTGTTTCCTTGTCGCGAAATCACGTCTCTCTCGCGCGTTCGTACGCCAAAGCGTTGCGACGTGCGGTAGCGAGGATTGCGACGCGAAACGAGTGAAAAAAAAGAAAATACAAAAGGGAAAAACAACGGGGGAAAAAAGCGCGGTGCTCGAATCAACTCGCGTCCGACGACTATTTGTCACGCGGCACGGCCCGCCGTTTCTTCATGAGGTGCTCGGTTTACGCATTAATCCAGCTAGATGAGAGAAAAAAATTGTGCAAACAGCGTTTCAGCGTAGGCAGCCTGCTGCTTTATCCTTCTCCTCCTGAACTTTCTCCTCCTCTTCCACTCTTCTCTTCTCTCTTTGTTCTCTGCTCTTTCCCCACCTTAACGCATGCCGTGCAACGTCCGCGCGAGTCGGTATGACACGCAAGTTCGTAATTAAGCCGAGCTTTAATTTATCGCTTGTAATCCGTAATTGTCAACGGCGGGGGCGAAAAAAAGCGTCGGGAAATAATAATGCTAATTCGAGCAAACACTTCGCGCCAGGAATATGACTTAACGACGATTAATAAACGATGGACTTACGGTGCGGTGAACGATCGAATACGGTAATCGTCAAAACAAACGAACTTAATCCAACGGATTGACGCGGATGGAAAGGCGGATAAATCCCGCTCACTCGAGTCAGAAATACCGGATTTGAAGTCATTCGATTGCGGTGAATTGAATTGATTATACTTTTTTCACATACCGCACGTGTTATATATATATATATATTATTTTTTTTTTTTATGGTGAATACACTGAGCTAAAACTGTCCTTATTTAACGAATGAACGCGAATAAAAATATAAATGTATGGTTTGATTTAAATGCTCGTTTTAAAATCCATTAGCTCTCCCTCTCTGTCTCCCTTTATCTCTATTTCATTATTCCTCTGCTCAGATAGTTTTCATCCGTTCGCTGTAATGGTAAAAATTTTAGTAGGAAAAAAAACATTTTCATACTTCCCGCACCATTATGCTCACATCGAGCCGATTTTAGTGAAACATTAAGCTCCAGTGAACCAGATCGATCGATACGATAACGTATGTACGTAATCCGCTTAATTCAATGAAGAGTGAATTTTTCATCCACATGCACATTTTGATATTTCTTAATAATTTATTGTCATCCCCGTATCTTTTTACGATTGTGCAGATCGGGGATCCGAGAGGATTAAAAGTCGCGCTGAGGGTAGTACAACTCATAGTAGTCGGACATTTACACTATGCAATTTTGCTGTAAAAAGATTTCGGTGCGACTGCACATTTCTGTCACATAGAGGTGGCAAAGAGCGGTGAGAGACTTTCGGTGAAGTCGTGAGAAATTAAAGTTTTGCGCGGTGGAACTTTAGGTACAAGAAATCTCCATAGCTCTTTCTCTCTCGTCTGACTGTTCCTTTAAGGTCCACCGGTTCTCTCGCGGTAGGGATATTGCGGTCGCCGAGGGAAATAAATCGCGCGATATGGGCGGCCGCTCGGATTTTACGATGGAAGGACGACGGCTTTAAGAATGCATTTCCGTCCGGGGACCGGGGACTGACGGTTCGATCCGAATTAATCCGCGTGCGAAACGCTCGCTCCGTTTTCCCAGTGCATTCGCGACTACCGTTTTGCGACTACTGATAAATGTAAGTGGTTCCATGAAGAAAACTTTGGTAGTAAAGAGAGATTTTAATCGAATAATTCGTAAATTAAATTCTGGAAGAGCGGCCCTTTTCAGACAGTTCAGAAAAGATTAGTTCATTACTTTAAAGCTGAATGAATATTTTGCGTAAAATATGCGTATATTAATTAATTTTAAAAAAACATTATTAATAAAAGTTTGATGCGGTATTTAGACCGAACTTTGAAATTAATAAAAATGAAAAAATTTAGAGTTAATATCAAATAAAATATAATGTATAAAATTTTAATTATAATTGTACTTTTTCATGGTTTTTCCATAGAATTAGCTTTGTTTGAAAAAATTTAAATAAATCAAATTTTTTAATATTATATAATTTCGATAAAATATAGTATTTTTCTTATATCAGATAAATATTAATTAAAATATAGGAAATTGAGAAAATTGTTTAAAAATGTAATATTCTACAAAAATATCGCGTTTCAAAAATGATAAAACAATAGACGCAAAATTAAATTTTTCTTATGATTTTCCCATGCTCGCTTTGCGTAATTTTGTTCTTTATCATCTTGCGGAACTGATAATTCCTCACATTTATGTTTACCGAGATTATCGATCCGATCGTGCGTGGCTAAATTGAAATTCCAAGTGCATCCAGATTCGCTCGGCGCGATGACGCGGACGCCTCGACGGTCGGTCGTGCAACGCGGATGCATCATGTATGCGCCAACTCCGCGGAGCGTAGGAACGTGCCCGCGATCACGTACATGCCCTCGCATTTCTGCATCACAGAAGGCATCGAGCAATCCGCAGGAAGTGAAGAGGGAGGAGAGGGGGGGGGAAGCACATAGGAGACGAAAAAGAGCGACAGACACGAATTCGTCGAAGTGAAAGAATAAACCGGAGCGTTAACATAAGGAGAAGAAAACCGGCTGAGAAGCAGACGAGGAAAGAGACATACGCGTGTATGTGTATAGAGTGGCCCATGCTTCGGTGACCGTCGGCCATTTACCTCCGACTTTCGGCCGCCGTATAAGGTGATGGGCTCTGTTCATTTATTTTCGCTATACTGGCTTGCACTTTTCTGGGTTCAAGTAGACATATTTCGGGTTTTGAAGGAAGAAAGAGGAAAGAAAGTGTGGAATGTATTGTATATTCGTCTCTCGAGTATCTCAAGTAGAATGATATTAGCATGTTGAATTGTGACAATGGGAGAATTTAAAATTTAATATATTGAAACGATTTGTTATTAGAAAATAATTAGGAGCAGCCATAATTTAATTATGTTTAAATATATGTATATCTTGATTGAAACAATCTTGTGAATATATTTCGAGGAAATGAACACATTTTTAAACGATTGTTATAATTTAAGCGCCTCAACAGGGATAATAGAATTTTTTAAGTAAGATATACATGGTATTATTTTAATAAGTTTCATCTCACGAAGCGTACTTGTGTTAGCTACCTCTTAATTAAAAATTTTTAACTGCTCGCGTGAAAGAGCCCGTAAAACCGTACACAAGAATAATCTGGGGAAAAAAATGCTTACGCGAAAACGAACGGGCAACAAGGTGGAAAGTGAAAAACAAAATAGTATAATTAATACACTCCGTACTTTCCATTTTCAACCCCCTCAATTATCGACACATCCATTCTGTCAGTGTCGAAGTGTAGTTAATGAAAGCGAACGAGTTGGATCCCGCATCCTGCGTATCGCGGTGACGCGCGCGCGCGAGCGAGCGAGCGAGCGAGCGAGCGAGAGAGAGAGAGAGAGAGAGAGAGAGAGAGAGAGAGAGAGAGAGAGAGAGAGAGAGAGAGAGAGAGAGAGAGAGAGAGAGAGAGAGAGAGAGAGAGAGAGAGAGAGAGAGAGAGAGAGAGAG